TTGGGAGTGTTGAGGCACAAAGTAACATGTTACCTGCATTTCACATAGCGTAATGCATTACAGTTGAAATTCTTATCACATTATAGTTACTGTCTTTAATGTGAATCAAGTTACTTTTTTACTAATATGTGAGTGAGAGAACAATATTAATTATTAGATTCAAAACATAAATGTCCTCTACATAGATTATCTGCAATTAAGCTGTGCTCTGTGTGCAACCTGCAATAGCTGACTGCGCAATTTCAGCTGTGAGTATGATCAGTGGAGTGCTGGAAAAAACGTACCGTAAACTGTCAAAGCATCTCATCATGCTAATATGAAACAATGGATAAAGATCTCTATGACGAAGAAAAAACAGAGATCCCAGATCTCACCTAAACAGGCCGGACTTGATTTTCATTCAGAAACAGCCCTGCATCTTATTCTTAATGACTTCTACTGGCTAGTTTCTAGATTTTCTTTCATTCATTATTTTAATCAGCATAACTGTCTGACATGCCTTTTAAATCACGTATACTGTTATTGCCTATTCCTTTCTTAATAAAGTGTTGTAAGGAATACTGGTTTTCTGTGTACTTTCCAGTTACTTGCAAGTAAAGTATTGAGTAGTGAAACTATTTTTTCCAAGAAGTAATAAGTAAAGTAAACCCTTTACAGTTTAAGTGAAGTCATTTGTAATGGATTATTTTTATTGAGCAACTCTCCTAACAATGGTCTACATTGGACATGTAAAGTCTGCGTATCAAATCAAAACATAAACAAAAGACCAATCAGCTAACAGCTCAAGATTTGAACTAGCTACACACTTTACATTTGTGTAGCACATTTAAATATAACTAACTACATATAACTAAGCTGCACTGTGTAAGATTTGGGGATTTGGAGACCTCTCTGGTTGAAATGTATGAAAACATATGTGAGCCTGTTAAAAGAGAACTCCAAGAGAACTCAGTCAAAACACTGAAGGACGTGAAAAGTAAGTGAATTATCTACTTTTGTCATCACATCAGTATAATACTGATTTTGCATTTGAGACCCAAACATTGAGCCCAACCTCCTTTTTGAGTCTGTGTGTGTGATGTTCATAAATAAAGACGGGTGACGTGGTCCGAAAAACTTCCGTGCAATTTGACCCAACATCTCTTATTTTCACATTATTGTTTCAAGCTTTACAGGGTGATTTGCAGGAATGCATTTAAGAATGTGTATTCCCTCCTAACTCCTAACCACTTTACTATCCTAATGCTACACATTCAAGTAGCGCTGCTTTAAACTGACTTTATAGAGGTCACAGCTCACTTTTCTCCACCCCATGTTTTTTTTAGCTTTTCCTCAGATATTGTTGGCTAATTTAACCGTGTTTTGCCAAAAGTATTAGTTGAGTTGGAACATGTGCACGATGAGATGCAATAAAAATAAAACAGTCCATTAAAAATCATGCTCTTTTTTATTTACAATGGGCGTATTTTGTTTTCGTCATTTGGTTGCATCACTTTCTGATAAGACAAGATATAATCTGTTGTAGCAACTTTCGTCAGGTTTGCTACTTGTAACAAACTTATTAGTTTGTTGTTTTTACACTTTTTAATAGTCGGTTGTCATTGCTAGATTACTTTAAGTAATTGTCAGAGTTTCGGTTGGAATGCCATTATCGGAAAGCATTGCTACTTATAGAATGCTTCTCAGCCAATCACACTGCAAGGTCAGAACCAGTTGTGGTACAATGTGGAATTTTTCTCTTTAGCAAGTGAAATCTGTAAACCAAAATGACTATGATAAGCTTTAATGGCAACAGAGAGAAGACTGACTGGCTTGTTTACTGCACACGGGCTCATCACAGGGAGGAATTTTGATGGAAAATCCTCACTGAGAGAGTGATTTAGTCCAAGACTAAGCTTAATCTGTCTGGGAAAGCAGCCCATTGAAAGGCCAGCACTGTCAATTCAATTAATAATAAAAATCTTTTGAATTATTTACCAAGTTAGTTCCCTCCACACTTTACTAGATACTTTCAAGTCCTCGATTCTAAACAATTCAGTCATGAAACAGATGACCAAGAAGGCACACAAATCAGCCGAAAATCCATTGTCCAGCCTCCTGAGACCCTGATGCCCGGTAAAAGCACAACATTCTACCTAACACATTGAGATCCAGAACTTCAATCAACTCTCCCAACCACATTCATTATTTACATTCACTTTTGGAGGGAGGACTAACTCCATTATCATATTTGGTTGGTCAAGCGAGAAAGAAATTTGAGGCGGAGAAAAGAAAAGCCTGCACGGAAGAAAGAACGTCATCTCTGAGGTTGTCTTGTAGTTCATGGTGATGGCAAATCAGACGTATTGTAAACAGGATTCAGTAATTGTGGGAGCACTCTGCAAGCTAACTTCATTATTTCAATCAGGTGTGTATAAGCTGAAGCTTAATAAAAACAGCAAACTGACCTTGACAAGTTAGCAAATGTTTTTACATGAAGATAATGTTTCTAGTGAATTCACAAGCTTTATATGAGCCTTGTATGTTGTGTACAGTGTTAACAGTGTACGACAGTATACAGCAAAGTTTTTCTGATGTATTCTGCAATACAGCAGCCGCCTGAGCTACTGAGATGAACGCATTCACTCCGCAGCAGCATATGTGATGCCTCTTGTCTCATTTCACCTAATGCGCGTGGGGGTTTAAGCTCTTGAAAGGTCAACTGTGACAAAACGATCTTGATTAACACCATAAGGCACAGGGCTGAAAAGTGACTCATTGACAGCAGTCCTGTGGTAATCCATTACTATTGCCTGAAAGGAGGATATAGTGATGGATGCTCCCACGAGGTCACTCAAAACACATTTGTATTTGAAAATAGTTCACAGAAACATTGAATGCACAGTATTCACAGAGAGGGATGGGCGATATAGCGATGTTCACTTGGTATGCACCTATCAGGAATTTTATGGCTGATTCTGACACGTAAGGTAAATGAAGCTGATTTCCAGCACTTTCTGTTAACCAGAGTTGGAATATAAATAGCATTATGCGATTGCATAAATCCTGTTCTATAAACTTTAAATAGGCAGTTGCAATTTAAATAACATGAATCAAATAAAGTGTTACACTGAAAGTAAGACAAAACTAGCTATTAAAAACAATGAGTCACATTTATGCTATAAAACTTTGGCATGCAGTACTGTGAAAAAGTCAGAGACCACCCTTTATTTATTGAATTTCCAGGTAAAAAAGCTGTTAATATCAAATCAATCAGTATTTAGTTTGTCCACTGTTCGCCTTTCAAAGCAATGTGCAAGGATATTTTTCCACACCTCCAAAGTTCAGTAAGTTCAGTTAATCATATACGTATACTTTTGCTGTTGTCAGAAGAAAACCTTGTACTTCCATTTTTGATGTTTTTTTAGTTTTTGACATGATTTGAAAATGCCTGTTGCCCTTTACATTGTGTGTAAATTTCCTGATGAATGGATACAAAAAGAAACGGCCCAAAACAACTTGGAAAAATGCCTGGTTCCACTGACTTACACTAAAAGTAAAGAAGATTTTTTCCTTCTCCTGTTTACCAAGCTACCATTTTGGAGAGGTTTTCTTCTGACAACAGCGATAAGTGTGTGTGTGTGTGTGTGTGTGTGTGTGTGTGTGTATATATATATATATATATATATATATATATACACGTATACATAAATAACTGACCAATGTGGCAGTAGGTCCACATTTAAAAACTACTATGAGTATAATAATTATTCTATATACAATGATAATGTCATACTGCATTAAAACTAACTAAACAGGACTAATTACACTCTCTCTGTAATGTAACACACAGTTGGTCTGTGTCTCAAAATACTGGCAATATCCACAAAAGTGCTCAGAGAAGCATAATTTATTATGATGAAATGTTGTCATACTGCCCACCTTATTCACAGATTGCAGTCACTGCATCAGTTTGGTAATAATAAACCAAGGAAGCCACAGAAAACAATTAAGTAATAAAGACTGTAAATGTACCAGTGCCACCATCGCATTCTGTCATGGTTGATGGTCAACATCATTATGATTACAATGAAGGGCTTTAACTAAATAAGATAAGATAAAGATGACAGTTAAATCTACTGTAAACCTGAATGACGCTGAGTTAAACTCAGTGATTGATGGTTAGCCTGAAAAACAACAGGACTTTCAGAGCAACCTTATGTATTGCTGGCCTTCGACATTTACTACACCTTCAATGCAAGCGCAGGGTGAGAGGTCTGCAACAAAATACCTCTTCAAAGTCAAGTGCACTTTTCTATGTGAGCCCCATGCTCCAGCTTACAGCTCCACACAGCACTTTCTATGAGGGGATATACGCATCTGAGCCTTAATCTAGCTTTAATACGTGACTGTGAAGCGCTGGAGCAGCAAAAACATCTGCATTCTGTCATTAGTAGCAAACTGTGCCACCCAGCATTTCTTTATGGAAGCACATATTTACAGCATCTGGATCAGACGTGCTCGGATGTCTGTGAAATGCAGCCATTTCCACGGACGTCTGTTACCATCACTTGTTTGCGTTCATTCTCAGTAAAGTCCTTCGACAGCAGACAGGCAGGCAGCCCGAACGGGTTAATGAACATGGACACAGTTCTGTATTACTGACAGAAACTTTTTGGACAAATTTTTCACTATTTTTACAATATGGCAATAAGAACTAAGGCAAGATACTAAGATCTAAACTTAAGCGGCACTATCGTTAACAACACTGACTGTCGTTTTTGGTCTCTTACCTCGAATCCACCAGCTGTTGTGACTGAGAACAGCAATGTTATATGAAATATCGCTTCTGTTAGGTTTCTCGAGGAGCTCTCAACACTTCAGGTCGTACAGATTCGTCATCCATGTGCAGTCAACATCTCCTCTGCCTTTCACACATCTCCCTCTCTCCCTCTCTCTCTATCTCTCTCAGCTGTCTGACGCTCTTGATGTATGTCACTAATCCGCTTCCGTTTTCTTACCTCTCATCTCTCGGTGGAGCCACTAGAACAGGGGTAATCCGCATCTAAACCAAGCCCCGGCGCTGCTGCCCTGCTCCCCCTTCTCCCAGCTCTCCACACGCTCCTCTCCGCAAACACACACGCGCAGCACGGCGGGCTCGGCAGGGGGCGGGGCCAATCAGGGGGCGGGGGCAGCCGAGTTCAGCCAATGAAATTGCTTCATTATTCCCCGTTCAGTTGATGTTTTTGTTTAGTGCAGCTCGCTTCAGTTCGGTTCCGGTTCAGTGCAGCTTAGTTTCTATGCAGTTTAATTCAGTCCCATTCACTTCAGTTCTCTGCAGGTCTAGACCAGTTTGGTTCACTCCAGTTCAGCTCATCTCAGTTCAGTTAAGTCCAGCTGGGTTCTGTGCAGTGCTGTTCTGTTCAACACAATTCATGGCGATTTAGGTCAGTTGTGTGCGGTTCGTTTTAGGTTCAGTGCGGTTTATTTTCATTCAGTTCAATTAACTGCAGTTCTGGTTAATTCTGTGCAGCTCAGTTCAACACAGGTCTACTTCAGTCCATTTAATTTCGGTTCACTGTTGTTCAGTTAGGTTCATCTCACCTCAGTCCGATTCACCCCAGTTCACCTCAGTTTAGTTAAACACAGTGTAATCCAGTTTGGTCAAACTCAGTGAAGTTCAGATCAGTTTAGATTCATTTAATTCTGTTCACACTTAAGTTCAGTTTCAATTTGGTTCAGTTTGCTTCACCTTACAGTTTTTTAGTTCACTTCAGTCCCAGTTAATCTTTCGTGGAATTCAATTCAGTCCAGTTTGGTTTACCTAACTTCAGTTTGTTTTTAGATCAGTTCAGCTCAGTTTAGTTCATTTCAGTTTAGTTCAGTTCAATTCACGGTTCATTTCAGGTCAGTTCAACTCAAAGCAATTTAATTCACTTCAGTTCAGATCTTCTTAGTTCAGTTAAGTCCAGCTTGCTTCTGTGCAGTGCTGTTCTGTTCAGTTTATTTTCATTTAACTAAATTAATTGCAATTCTGCTCAATTATTTGCAGCTCAGTTTAACATAATTCCGTCTAGTTCAGTCCAGTTTGGTTCATTTCACTTCAGTTCACTTTTGGCCAGATCAGGTCATCTCAATTCAGTGCAATTCACTTCAGTTCAGGTGATTTTTTTGTAGTCAGTTCAGTTCAGTACAGTTTAATCCAGTTTGGTGTACTTTGGTGCAGTTAAGATCAGTTTAGATTTAATTCTGTTCACCTTTCTGTTTAGTTTCAATTTAGTTTGGTTTACTTTACTTCAGTTTATTTTAGTTCAGTTCATTTCAGTTAAATTCAGTTCTACTCACAGTTCATTTCAGTTCAGTTCTACTCAGTTAATTTTAGTTCAGTTCATTTCAAATCAATTTAATTCAGTATCAGTTTGATTCAGTTAATTTTAATTCACTTTAGCTCATCTAAAAGCAATTTAATTCAGTTCTGGTTTGGTTCAGTTTGGTTCAGTTCTGGTTTGGTTCAGTTCATTTTCTCTATTCAGTTCATCTCAGTTAAGTTTAGTTTGGTTCAATTTGCTACAGTTCAGTTTAGATTAATTCAGTTCAGTTAACTTCAGTTCAGTTAAGTTCATTTGAATGAATTTGATTTAGTTCAACACAAATAATTTCAGTTTAGTTTTTGATTCATTTAATTATTTTTCAGTCCACTGCAGGAAAGGTTTTGCTGTACTACAGATATGCGGTGTGGATTTTCCATCCCAGGCTTAACCAGAGTGAGGAAAAACTCCCCAGGATAAGAAAGCTAGAGCGTAACATGACTCACATGGGGAACCCATCTCTTTCTGTCTGCTTTAGTTAAACGGTCACAAGTCTAATTGCAGACACATGTTTCGTAGCAAGTAAAACTAGATCATTGTAGACAACTAATAAATAGTCATAGCAAACATTACTCACATATAGCTTATTAGATCCATGGTGGGGAAGGCGAAGTACATTACACTGATTAGTGGGGACATTAAATAATCAAAGGAAGATTATGGCTCATTTGAGGCCATAGAAAGTTCATGGGATGAATCAGACAAGAAGTATCTAAATAATGTCATGGTAGGTTATTACCCCATCATACCCATGCTCTAAGCTTCAGTCTGATGTTATTAAAGGGGAACTGTACAGTGAATTATTCATTTTCTACCAACTCTTCATGGGCAAATATGATATTCCTGTTTTCTGAATCTCTTTGTGTTGACATTGACTACTGGATGTGTCACCATCACAGAGGTGTGCTTAGCACCTTCTGTAGTGTCATAGGAGTTAATTACATGCCTAAGTAAACAAATGAGCTTTAAAGTGGATTTAAAGATGGCAAGTGCATATGGCGAATGAATGACAAGTTTAGAAACCATATGGCACAAACGGTTTGCTTTTGGGAGAATGCCAGACTGAACCCATAGAGCAGGACAAGGCGAGTGTTCATGAGAAATAGCATGGTTTACACTAGGCCATCAATAAATAGTGGTCAAATGTTAGATGAACTAGCAGAGATTACGACTGTAGCCAGGCACATGCACTTGTCCTTGCACTGTTCAAGTGCCCTCTTGATCAGAGTGTATAACATTTGTGTTTGCATGGCCGTTCTTAAAGAGTCATATCCTTGTTGCCCTCCTTTCCTTGAGCTCCTGCCCCCCAAAGATACCTGTGCACAGTGGTGACCACTAAAGGCAAGTCGATGTCAAGGCTGAGATCTGGACACGTAAAGTCCAAGTCAATACCAAGACTTTGTAGTTAAGATCAAAACCTGGAGTGGTGAGACCGAGAGAAGACCAGATTCAAAAGAAGAAAGGAACATACATTAAAGAACATACATTAATTTTATTATTAAATGAAAACATTCCGATCTGCTCTCAGGAGATGTCTAAATTTTGGAACCAATGAACATCAACAACAAAATAATACCCTCTTAAGCCATAGTGGAAGGGATCCTCAACTGGCAGCAAATAGATTTTATTTAAATACATTGAGAAAACATTTTATTCTGCTGTAAGGTTTTGTTGATATTCAATAATGAAAAAAAAAAATTCTAGTTACCTCTGATATGCAGCACACTTGGCTAGTCTTGAGAATAATTTCTCCTTACCCTAAGACTGAGACAAGACAGAGACCAAATGATGTTGAGACTGATACAAGGCCGAAACCTCTTTTAAACTTTTAAATTAATTAAGGCCACCAGTGGGTGACCCTTACTGTAGCAGTTATTATACTTGACCACCCCAAAATTCATATTTATGAGCAACAATGCCAAAAAGACAATATATATATATATATATATATATATATATATATATATATATATATATATATATAAAATAATCCTCCTTTGCAGTAAAATAAACCTCTACTGATCGTTCTGACACAGTTTTAACAATAAATGGTCTTAAACTCTATAGTTATTGTAGCCTATAACTGCTAATTTACTGACCTTTAACCCTGAAGGTTGACACGCAGACCGCTGAACACTACAGCAATGCAGACAAGAATCACGCTTAGCTAGTAGCTAACAAAAATGCAAAGAGAAAGATTTAAGAAGAACATAGATAATTTGAAGACATATGGACTTATTTGCACTTTTAAGCACTCAGCTGGTTTCCTGATATGTTTAATCTGCAATGGGAGACTGTCAAACACTAAAAAAAAAGTGAAGCTTAAGTCAGTTTCTTGTTCGAATTTTCCGTTCCACCTTAAATGGTACAGCAGTTACATTGTGGTGCCACTTAAGGTGGGATGGGAAAATTCGAACAAGATCCTGGCAAATGAGAAGCTGACTTCAGCCTCGTAAAAGGTCAGACTTTGAGAGACATTTTACAAGAAGCTTTTTTACTTTTGAGGAAGAGTGTCCGGCCGGATGTGCGAGCATAGTGACTATAGCTGAACTAAAGCTTAAAGCAGAGCAAAGTAAATCTGCATTTTCATTTACATTATATTTTTAGCCTACACTAAGACATTAGTACATCCTGACACATATTTACAGCCAAGATGGTAAAATGGACATAAAATGTTGAGGCTCCCAAGGTGGTTTGATTTTTATTGAAAGGACAAAATGGCTCTTCTTAACATTTGGGTTGCTGACCTCTGGTTAATTAAATAGAAAGTACAAATTCTGTTGTAGCATTTTACCCACTTTTATTTACATAACTTTAAAATAACCAGGCCAAAAACATGTCATGGAAGATGTCCTATATTGTTATGAATTGCCATGGCAATATTTTGTTCAGTAATGTAACAGTGTCATGTTACCATCACTGATAATTGTCATAACATATGCCATAATGTTTGATGTCATGACATGTTGCACAGTTAGTGGTCATGACATCAAACATTATGACTTATGTTAGTACAGCTACTTGTAATGGTAACATGACGTTGTTATTACTAAATGACACTGCATGACATCTGCCATGACATGTTTATGGTATGATTATGTCAATGTTATGTAGCAGCAAAGTGCTACAGATTGTCCTTACCTTGATTCTGCTGCCTTACTACTAATTGTATCATACTTAAATGGTATTATTCATGAAGTTACTGCTTCAGCAAGCTTAGACTTATTTATCCCATGTGCGACCATGGTTACAAACTTGCTTTAGGTTTCTTGCCTATGAATTTCATTTTTTTCATTTCATAAATATCCATGTAAAATATGCTCTTTTTATAAATACATCTTGTACTCTCCATTAGAGTGCATGTCTGAGTGTTCTCTGAATTTCAGCCCAAGTGACTGCAGTGGCGTCATCACAATCAATGAGATCAGTGCTGGCCCTGAGGTCAGAGCCAAAGATTGGACAGGGGGGAGAAACGTGTGTGTGTGTGTGTGTGTGTGTGTGTGTGTGAATGTGCTTGTGTGTGTACAATCACCGTGAAGTCTCAGCCAAAGTGGCTGCAGTAGTGTCATGACCTGAATCGATGGGATCAGTACTAACCCTGAGGTCACAGTCAAAAATTGGACACAGGGAAGAAAGATATGTGTGTCAAGATGTATGAAGGCTGCAATGTGGAGAAGTAGAGTCACAGTTGGATGCCGCATATCAAAACAGAGCCTTTTCTTTGGTGTGTTGTTCATAGAGGATGCATGTGG